ACACGTACACTAAATAAAGTTTAGTCTGTTTCCTGTAAAGCGCGTGTTCAGGAACTGTCTCAAATTTGAAATCGTAACCTCATTTATGGGACTCTTCCAAAAAAACTACACTATTTACACTTTATTCTCAAAGGCGTATTTCTCCCTTCATGCTCCAACGAAAATGCCTACGATGCAATTGTTTGTTTCATAGTCAGCGAAACGATCCGCATATTAAATACGTAAATCTACTTCCTAGAAAAATCAACAGAGTTAAAGAATAGGTAGAAATAGAATAGCTTTCTGTTGGTTGTATATTCAGCACTCACCGTTCCACTTTATTGCTCCGTTTGCAGCCCGAGTGTCTGAACAAAGTTCCCATAGCTGTCTCATCTTCTGTTGCAGCCATTATGATCCCTATGGAAATAGACATGAATTCAAATAACTACAATAACGTCACACTCCGCAGCCAAAACCATGTCCATCAATCAGGCGTCTGACCACCTACTCCTCCTGCTACACGTCATATTTGACAGCATCTTGTGAAGTTTCCGTGAGAGAGCACTTCATCCACCAAATCAACAGACAGTATTCAAGGGCCTTGTTATTTGTGAAGCCATAATTTCTCCTATTCATTTACTCCCAGTCAACTTTATAATGTGTTTATTCTTTCCAAAGTCACTTCACAATTTAAGAGACTCTGTCCATTTTTGTCAATATATTTTGATAGGGGAACAATTGTGGTGATTATCGGGTGTAACAAAATGTTTATATTCTACGATTAAAAAGTCTATTGTCAGAATAAGTGAATCGCTATTAGGATCATCCATCTAATGAATTACTCGATAGTTGATTGATTTTGTCCGAAAATGCGCGTTTGAAAATAAATAGTTTTATTGATTTTTCTTTCGCCTTCACTAGTGCAGAATACTTACTCATTACTACCAAGTTTGAGCTATCAAAGTTCTTTGGTTAACTTTGTTTGAGCAAGAATTTTTATAAACCGTCCTATTGACAATTAGTACAAGATGAAATGACTTATAGTCTGAAAGGTGGGAAGTTGGAACAAGGAGATTCGTAAAATGTACAAATATGAGAATAATAAAATTATGCCAATAATGTTATCATCTCATAGTGCGAAGAGTAGTAAGTATTTGCACCTACATGGCATTTAGTTTCCGAATTGACAGTTATTGAGAGTTCATGAAATGACTTAGTAAACAGTGATGCGCACTGGTTTTTCCTCCTAAAATATTAACACTGCTTTTAAACCACCTAATAATTCAAGGTTCGAAAGTTCTAATTATTTCCTTAATTCAATTTTGATAGATTTAACTCGATAGCCTATTTGCCTTTTTTTTCCTAACATGGGGCAAAAAGTGAACATTTCGCAAACATCTCTGTCAAGTTGAGGGTTGGCAACTATTAGATACAACTTGTCCATCATATTGGCTTGGTGTTGTCACCTGTAGATCAACTTAATTTACAAGCTACTCACAATTCATACAATATCTCGAATTTAAATTCTGAACAGGTCAAACACTCGCCTACTTTTTCTTACTCTTGTCACCACTTCCGTTTCCGTCTTGCTAACGCAATTGTTTGTAATCATTGTCCTTACCACAGTATCATCATCATCATCATAAATATCCATATCATTGGTGAGCAGAACTTGACCGATTTTAGCCATTTTTGTGATAATCACTATTATAACGAGAAGTGCTAATGTTGGATGTATGCAAGATGATCCCTGTGAATGCAATCAGTGTAGTGAAAATTGTTATCGTTGCTGCTATTTTGAAGGCCAATTCTCAGATTGAAAATGCTCGAAGTAAACTATTATAATACGCATCATTGACCAAATTGAGAACTCGACATTCGTCACAAGGCGTAATATTTCGAGCTTCTTATTGCCTAATAGTAAAGAACTTTTGTGTCTGTGAAATATTATGCTAAAATGTGCATCTGCCTGTGGCACTGGAGTGAAAATGAGTTCACGAATGCTGTGACCCCTCAATTAAACAAAATCACTAGTCATAGAGTCACAATTTACTCAAGATTTAATTGGTTGTATGAGCAATGTGTGATAAACTTATCGCTATAAACTGTGCGTAAACAAAAATTTCAATATTGGGCTGAAATTTCAAATACATTGAAATTTGTAATAAATTTATTCATTGAAATGATAAGCAAACACCCCGTGTTTGAAATTTATTAAAGTATTGACATGCTTTAGCTAATAAAGAAGCCGCTTATGTATGGTGCAGATAAAAAGAATATTCAGTTAATGAAAAGCACTAAGCACTTAAGTATTGCATTTACTCAAACATTAATTTTGGAATTGTGAACGAGCATTGCAAATGAGGCGAAATATTGGTGGTCTTGGTTGTACTTCACGTCAGACATTTCGTGGAAAGTTGGGAATTCGATGGAAGCGAATTTGGCAGTATATGAAGCAGTAGATGTTACCATTGCAAGCATCAACGCACTCTCCGTATGTGCGAGCATATGTTGGATAGCGCTTGGGTATCTGACATTCGGGAAGATAAGGTTTCTCGGCGCATTTAGAAGTGGGATGGCGTTGTGAAATATGATCATGGTTCTGCGGGTAATGATGATGGTGCGGGCAATGGTGGCATTGCGGGCAGTGGGGTTGGTAGTGTGGTTGTTGGTGGTAGTGCGGATAATTTGCTGAGGCAACAATTGCAAGAGCCAGTAGAGTGAAGACAAGAAGAGTGTTGCGAGTCATGTTCATTTGCCTTGATTTCAATTTCTCACTTTCCCAATCGAAACCTTTATATACCCACCCTTTCAGTGTGTAGGCAGCATTAAAAGACTTCGATACACTTGACAGGCATTCCGCCTTAGATTATGTGCGTACTTTATTTTGCGCTTTCATTAACTCATATCCAACAGTTTCTCGATTTGAATTTAACATTAATTTTACCCAAGTAAACATTGGATGTGTGGGAATTTGGGCCTCTATTGGGAACAAACCTGGGCTCGATTATCCTGAATTTCATTAATCCTAAGTTTATTAGCCGGCGCTTTGTTAATATTTAGCAATTTCATTTCCATTGACAAACATTCAACCATTTGATCTCATTTGAATTGATAGTAAGGAGTAATTTTAATTTTATATTGGTCTCAATATGCTATAGTCTCGCAAACGTTTTGTTTGGAATATTTTCACTGAAATATTTATTGCTTATGACGTTGCAAAAATAATTGAACATAGTTCATTTAACCATTTCCCACTTGAATCACAGTCTTTAAAAAAGAGCTAAATTAAAACGGGTACAAGCCATGATGATTTCTCAAATTTTGACTATCATTTTAATGTGATCCATACTCCGCCCCACGCAAGTGTCTCTTTAGATCGAAAGAAAACATATTTAGAGCTAAATAAAGATATAACTTTTCGAAGCATTAAAGCAAATAAATGTTGACATAGTGTGATTTCTCTATGGTTTCTCTATTACGTGCACCCCCCTTTAAAGACACGTTTGGCCTTTATTAATTCAATCGTTGAAAGGCCCATAAATAGTTCACATCAAGGTAAATCTATAATGTGCTGAGGCAATTTGGAGAAAGCCTCTTGCTGTGTGAGTAGTGCATGTCCACCAAATAGTGCAATATGGACAATTTTAAAGGGATAAATTGAGCAAAGATTTCTGTCGATATCTCGTCTTGTTAACTAATTCATCCTTTGAATATAAGGATGGCAAATATCCCCTTTGACTTGATATCCACTTGACGGATTGGCAGATCATGTCGCCTTCCTCTAGCCCATTGCGTCACGGAGTGCATAGAATGACCAATTTTGAATTGAAACGTTACATCAACACGCATGAATCTGTTGATGGCAAAATTCAACCTGCTTCTTCGCATAGTCGTCACTCCGACCTCTTTGTGATTTCAATTGGGTTTCAAAATTTTAGAATTAAAAGCCAAATACTGAAAATCGAAGTGAATAACCAAATTGTAACATTAAAGTAGCCTGAGGAGTTGGGTCGAAAATCAGGTCGAAAAAGATATGAGGGGAGTCTGTGGTTTCGGCGATTTGTGTCTAAACACCTTCACAGGGCTAATGTGTCAAGTATCGTGCTTGAGGTTAGTCCTCCAATCCAGCTCAATGACAAAAGTGCCACAGTGGCTCCTTTACTCATTATTTAAGCTTCCAATGCAGCCAGTTGCTCCCCATTCCTTTGAACGTAAGTTATGACGGTTTGCCGATGAATGAGTGGTGTGAGTATTAAAATTTCCATTTTTTCATTATTAGGGCAAGGCAAAGGGCGTGATAGAAGAGCAAAAATGCTCTCATATTCGGCACAAAAGTTCGCTGCTTGGATAAGTCAATTTGACTTCTTACAGGGGCAATCTCGATTTGCAAAGCGGCTTTTCTTACTTCGAGTTAAATCCCAGTGCATGATAATTGCACAATTCATATTGTATAGGCAAAATATCTGATCAAATAATGCCAAGATAAGGCGTTATCGTAAGGTACTTAGGTTTGGCGTAAGAGAGAAGATATCTTAATTAAGGTGAAGAGTAAGAAACGGTAGTTTTTGCTTTCCGACGTGAGGATGTTAGTGAAAGCCAAGTCGTCGTGGGGATTGTGGAACGAGGTGGGAGCGAGTCTGGTGGTATTGGATGCAGTAGATGGTAGCTTTGCAAGTCTCCACACTATTCTCGTAGGTTTGGGTGCAAGTTGGGAAGTGCCTGGCCATCTGGCACTTGGGAAATTGAGGTTGAGTGGAGCATGTGAAAGTGGGGTAGTATTTACAGAAGCACTGTTGGTAAAATTGTTGCTGGATAATATGACAGTGTTATTGTTGTTTGTGGTGTTGGTTGTGCCCGAGGTAATGGCGTAAGTGGTAATGAAAGTAGTAAAAGCAGTATGGGAAATATGTGCGTGCGCCAGTAGAGTAAAGAGCAGCAGTCAATTTCAAGTCACGTTTTTTTCCTTGTGTTAACCATCATATGTTCCCGTCAAATTCTTTATATACTCTGGACTTCAGTGTTTCAACGCCAGTAAACAACTTTGTTACACTTTGCGACCATTCAGATGCCTCGTGCTTTTTCCAATCTGCGTACTATGTTGTGCACTTTCAACTACTCCTGTTCAAACGATTTCTCAATTCGCCCATACTGCAATACTTTCGCTGTTCATCTAATTGCCTCATTGCATCTAACTTACAGTTTCCTGAGAAAGATATCTATAAAAGGCTTTCTTTTCCTAATGCAAAGCATAGTAAACTACTTAGCAAATTCATTTTCACTTACGTTTGCTATGCTTCTGGTATTTATACGATAATTTTCAAGGTTCTCCGATGCACTCTTATACATTTTTGTAATTCTGCATTATTTTCTATGATATTGCTTAATTTCGCACAATATTTGAGGGCAATATTTTAACACTTTTACATACTATGCAACATTGATTCGCATTAATGCTGTTTAAAAAGCAGTTAAAATTAGATAACGAGTGAATCATCCTATTTATTACCGATTTTATTAAACAAGTGCACGTGAATTTTCACCGAACTCACTTGTCTCCCACTGAGGACTTTTTCATACAGACACAATCGAATGACCCGTGATGAAATTGGTTGATAGGAAACTGATTAGAACAAATCTCTGACGGTCTCAATGAATTCCATGAAAACTCTGTCTGAGAAGGAAAACCTCTTCACGACATTATTATATCAGAGAATGATCCATAAGGATCAGATGCGATTACTAATCACTGCTTTGTCAACACATATTTGCTTTTACATAGTTAGGTAGGTTCTAAAAGATGAATTTTACAGAAATCAATAACTTATGCTTGTACCTTTGCTGTACATAAATTTCGATCTTTTAAACCTTACACCGCTTAATTTAAGTGAAGCTTTCCATATCGAAGCAATTGATCTTGTGGTTACATTTGTTTAAACTATAAAAATGATCACCAAATTAAGATTATACAGTAGGGGAGCTGCAATTTATAACAAATTACAGCTTCTTTTTCAACTCCAGCAGTAGAAAGGAAAGTGAAGCATTACATGACCTGCTAATTAGTCAAATCATTTGGTAACTTGCGATCAGGTATCGTTTTTTCTTAATAAGACACAAGGAGGATGAAATTGGAGTAGTCGAGATGCTAACTTTCCTTCCATCCTGAAGTACTTGGTCTTCTCATGAGGATATTTTGCTGATGAGTTTCGTCCTCGCATCCTACCTTGGCAGTTAGGCACCATGCTAATCAATATTTAAAGATGGTAGACTAGGCGAATTAGTTTCACTTTGTTCAGGTGAACATATTTTGTTGGTATTTCCTTGATGCAAGAAGAGTAATGGATTCAATTACAAACTTAACGAAAGCACATTGCTTTCCAATGGAATATAGCCGAATGACAATACATCTAATTAATTTTGATCAAACGGGAGGGCAACTATATTTTAACAAGAAAACATTTATAAGTCCCATTTGATCCTAATAGATAGACATTTTGGCAGGGCATTTCAGCCTTGGTTTCGATTATGTGTCGACTTTGAAATATCAATGTCTTGAAGAGACTTTTCTTCTCAGATATTGCCCTCTAATGAGGAACTAAATTATTCAATATCAAAGAACTTGATGCACAAATCATAAAATTTTAAAACAATCCCCAGAATTAAGAAAAATAGTGGAAATCCGCAAGATGATGAACGAAGAGGAGCCATGTGCACTCAGTGGGAAAGGTACCGTCATGTAGAGAGCAACCAATAAACGATTGAGTTAAGCGGCATCATTAGGATAACACTAAAATTATGTTACAAAAGAGTGTTGTGCTAATGTCCCATAAACTGTAATAAACGCGGGTCATGCAACAAGTTTAATTCGGTTTAACGATGAAACGCAGAAAGTAGAAAGTAGAGTCTATTTACTCGTCTTATTTCATTTATTGCCGATACTTTTAATTTATAAAAGTAGAGTAAGCACAGAGGTTAGACATGAAGATCACAGACAAATCCTGTGCAAATTCGAGCTAAAAGTTTAATATTGTAACAATTGTTATAGACTTCAGTGGAATGGAAAACAAATTAGCCTCGACTAAATCTCAGTAGTATTTATTTGATGATTTCCGTGTATGAACGGGTTTGAAAATTGGCCAAGTGGAGTCTGAAGTATCGAGAAAGACGATGATATGTTATGGTTCATGACACAATGCTCAGACAAACAATTAAATCTTGAGTACAGCGAAACTACTATGACTAGTGATTTTGCTTAATTGAGGGGTCACAGCATTCGTGAACTCATTTCCACTCCAGTGCCACAGGCAGATGCACATTTTAGTATAATAATTCAGAGACACAAAAGTTCTTTACTGTTGGGTAATAAGAAGTCCTCCGAAATCGTACGCCTTGTGATATTTATCAGGTTCTCAATTTCAATCTGAGAATTGGCCTTCAAAACAGCAGTAACGATGGCAAACTTCCCTACGCGGATTGCATTCATAGGGGTCATCTTGTATTCATCCAAACTTAGCACCCTTGTTATAATAGTGATCATCACGAAAATGACTCTATTAGCCAAGTTCTGCTCACCAATGGCATTGATATTTGTGATGATGATGATGATACTGTGGTGAGGCCAATGATTGCAAACCATTGCATTAGCAAGACGGAAATCGGAAGTTACTACTAGAGTGAGAAAAGGTAGGCGGGTGCTCAACCTGTTCAGATTTTAAATTCGAGATATTATATGAATTGTGAGTAGCTTGT